ATGCGGTGCGATGCGGTGCGATGCGGTGCGATGCGGTGCGATGCGGTGCGATGCGGTGCGATGCGGTGCGGTGCGGTAGGGCTAGCAAGCACGCACGAGGTTGGCGTGCGAGGTCGACGCGCATGAGCTGGAGACGTAATAGAGACGAAAATAAGCGAGAGGCTTGAACGAGACAACCGAAGCGTCGGCAGCCTCGACAGTTCTCGCGGGAGGGAGGCTGCTCGAGGCCGGTCAAGGCGCGTCGACGCCTGCGTGGCCTGCTGGGGACGACGGGGCACGGGGCACGGGGCACGGGGCTTGTGTGTCTGACGGAGTGTGTGTGTGTGCTGCAGAGGGAGGAGAGGAGGAGACACTCACCTGCCGCAGCGGATTTCGGCGGATTCCGGCACGTTCCGACTGGCTTGAGTGTGCGCAGAGCTCGTGGGCTGAGACGGCGTCGGATGAAACCGAGCCACGACCTGATTCACTCTTCTCCGGCCGACCTGAGACCACCTCCTCGACCTTCGAGCAGACAGGCTGGGCGGCTGGACGGCTGGACGGCTGGACGGCTGGACGGTGGCGAGCTGAGCTGGGATGAGCCGAACAGAGCTGAGCTGAGCTGAGCTGAGCCGAGCCGAGCCGTCTTCTCGCATACACACACAAACACACAGACAGGCAGGCATGGCCATGAGCAGGCACAACGAATGATCGGCCAGTCGGCGACTCGCCACGCCACGCCACGCCACGCCACGCCACGCCACGCCACACCCCACCAGGCCTCGGCGATGGACTTGGACGCGAATCTAACTTGTAGCCGATTGGCGGACTGATGGGTGGATAGGTGGACGGAGTGAAAGTAAGGGTGAAGGCAAGGTGAAAGCATGCATCTTGCGTGCGTGAGATAGATAGAGAGAGAGAAAGAGAGAGAGAGAAGGAAAGAGATAGCAGCATGTCTTTGTTGGAGAGGCGACTTGGGCCAATTTGCTTGCCGGGCGAACCAATCAGCGTGGAGCACGAGGCTGCAGACCAGCCAGCCAAGTGGGCGGACGGGCGGAGGGATGAGTCGACGAAGAGGAGAGAGAGGGAAGAAGAGGCAACAATACCGCGACTCGCGATAGAGACAGGCTAGGGCAG